AAGCTGTTCGAGTCCTGGTGACGGGGTGGTCGTCGTATGCGGTCCTGCAAGGGCTACACAAGAGGTCAATCGGGCCTTCATGAAGATTGAAAGGGGATTTCCCTCCTGAAGGTTCTCCGATGCCCAAGTCAATGAACATCCTACTGGGAACATGTACTCAGAAGGGTGTTTCTATGGGTCTAGAGTGAGAAGTCTTGTTTCGGAGATCGAGACATCTATCTGTTTATGGGTGTTTCGAGGGATGTTCTATATGGAAAGAAGAAGGTGCAGCGAGTATAAAGGCAAGATTCCGGGTCGAGAAGGACTTATCCAGGTAGGCATTCACTCGGGGGAACAAAGAGTTCTCCCTTGATCATGCTGCTCGCAGGGGCCGGTTGACTTGGTTTCGGCCAGTTACCTCCTCCTTGAGAGGGATTTCATATCCGCTGATCCGATCCTCTTTTGATGTGGTGATCTCTCTCCTTTTATACTAATGGTGTCCTTGTCATGTCTTCTCCATCCGGCGCGCCAGGAAAACAGGTGGGATGATGATTCTTGCGTGTTTGGGGAAGCTCGCCAACTGCTCGGGAACAGCACGCGGGAGTAGTTCGGCTGAGTTAGCATAGCGTGTGTCAACGTTTAGGGTAGTTCAATGTCCACGTGTCGGACTCCGTTTGAGCCTGATGAAATCGGTCTCAACATAAACTAAAATATTTTTAATATTTTAACTATTTGTTATATTAATTTTTTAACCTTTTTATCAAATTTAAATATTTATATTATTTAGCTCAACATTATATTATTTAACTCATCATTATATTATTTGGTTTATTTATATATTTTTATTTTAAAAAATTACTTATAAATATGAATGCTGGTTAAATCAGGTTCTCAATATTTTTTTTATTATTTATGTTCTTTTAAAAATGAATTTTGAATCATCTATATCATTTATGTTTTTTTTAAATGATTTCTGAATCATCTACATTTACTTATTTACAATGTGTGACTTGTTAAATATATTTATATTTGTTCATCATTTGAGAAATTTTATATTTATTTTTAAAAATTGAAATTATAACACATGTACCAAATACTCTATATTTTCTATTATATAGATCATGTGATGATTTATTTATTTTGAAAAATTAAGATAAAAAAAAATTATAGTGTTTAAAGAAATAATTGATATGATATATTTTTAATAAGAAATAGAAAAAAATTATATCTTCAAAAATTAAATATTAAATTATGTATAAATAATTTATATAAACTATTGACCAATTGAATTATCGTGAATGACATATTATGTAATTACTCTAGTAACATAAATTCTTTTTAAAACTGTAATGAGAATGAATATGTTGATGACACATTAGCATAATGTCCTTATCGTATAAATAAAATATAAAATTCAGATTATACTATAAAAATGCTTCTTAATTAATATATTTAAAATTATATTTAAAATCTATTTAGAAAAAAATTATTAATATGTATTGAAAATGTTTCATATATTAAAGGACTTATATTATTTTTTTTTGTCTTTTGTCTTTCACATATGGACTTATAATTGGAATGAAACATAAAATGGACTCAATTAGTACATGTTATCAATTAGAAGAAACTAATTATGATTTATTAGGAAAAATAGCATTTCAAATATAATCAATTATGCTTAATTAGTAATCATCATTATTAAATGGATATCAATTTCTTGTTAAATTGATTTGAATACACACAAAAAATTATTGGTTTACCCTATATTTGTCGGATCAAAATCGTTTTAGAAATTATGTTGAGGAATGATTTAATAATAATTTAGATATGTTGAGAAAATGATTCGTTGCCCACTCTGCAATATGAATTATGTAAATGATTTTGAGGGGGAATAATATGAATTAAGTTAGTATAGTTCGAACCCATTTCATTAATACATTTTTTTGTTGCAAACAATATGTATTTATCTTTTTTAACTTATATTAGAAATAGAACTGATGTTATACAAAATTAATTTCCATCAGATCAGTTATAAACATACTTTTTTGCTAAGATATCATGTTTGGTTGATATTTAGATTCTATTAAAGAAAATAATTTATAATATATTATTTCAATACTTCAAAAAATGAATCATATCAAAATTACTAAAAATAATATGATTTGAGTGAAGTTATACATTTTTATTATAAAAATTACATATTGCTTATATTTTATTGATTGTGTTTGTTTTTTTAGATTAATTTGGTTTAGTAATATATTATTTGAATACTTAAAAAAATTTATATTATATGTTTGGTCATAAAAATGCATAATAGGACATCATGTAATTAGTCTAGTAACTTAAGAAGTATTTTCTAAAAATATTTTTCAATTTAAGATTATTTTTTAAAAATATTTCTCAATTAATATATAAAAAAAATAGTTTATATTTCTTAAGAACAAGTGTTTATAGAATGCAAGAGAACACAAATCCAGCCACGGCTCTGAGGCATAGCGGAAGGAGCGATGGCCATGGGTCCAAAATTTGAAGGGCCTAGTTTTTTAAAATATATATTGTAAAATTTAATTAAAATGTGTTCTTTAATCCATTTAAGAATATATTAAGCTCAGTACATAAAAAGATATTTAATAAAAAAAATCAGAGATCCATGGTCTAGTTATACAAAAAAGATTGTACTTAAATTATTCATACAAAAAACTTGTTGTTAGTTATCTTTGCAGAGATTTATACTCAACAAGACAACCATCATTTCAGTTATTCAAAATCACAAAGAGTTTCACAATCTTCTAGCAAAGATTGAATGGTCTTCTACTTTATGCATTAAAAAAGAAGTTTTGAAAGCTATGGAAACAATTATCAATGATTTTGCATCAACTAAACAAGAGTTAAAAAGAAACATTTTATATGATTTTTTACTTTTTTAAAAAGAATTGATACTCTCTTATATTTTTCAGGTTGATGTAATCTACATGAATGATGCATTTAAACGAAGAGTGAAGTATTATGCCAAAAACTTTATAACAAATTACTTATATATATTTGTTTTCAACAAATTAATAACTTATTTTACATTTCAAATATCAGAAATTCGTAGTTTAGTTTATTTTGATTAATACAATTATACAATTATAAGATTTTATTATGTTTATCAATATAATACAAAAAATCCATATTTTGTATTTTGTCCAAAGATCTTGAAATTGTTAGATTCAAAGCATATCAATTAACTTTTCTAATGTTTCGGTCAATTGACTTTGGTGATTTGTGAGATTCGTTGACACTACTTGGCTTTGTTTTTTGGTAGTTTCATGACAAATCAAATGACTTTGGTGATTTGTGACTTTGTGAGGTTCGTTAAAACTACTAATGTTATAGAAACTTTATGAGCTAGCATTATCTAATCATCTATAGGTGAAATATAAAACTCAAAATCTTTACTACGTGCGGTTTTCACCATTTATCTGATGGTGACAAAATGGGGCTATCACACTATAGTCTTTATTATGTTAATGTTGCCACCATCTAATTCGAAAACAAATCATACGTAGACTTATCTAAACTTATAATTTTTAATGTCAATATGTTTCATTATATAAACATAAACACTAAGATATGGATGATGAAACACATCAGTTTTTATCGCTCCCACGGACGCGGAGATTCGCAGATTTGCCTTCTCGCTCTGCTTTTTAGTTTTGTCAACGTACCTTCTTGATACGAACCAAGAGACATTTTCGAATCTTTTGATTCTTTCTTTTTGACATCGTCATTGTCAACTTCAAAAGTCAACTGCTTCTATTCTTAACTTCTCTCCAAATTGCCATCCAATATTAAAAAAATATATATATATAAGAAGAAGAAAGTGTTTTTTTTTTTTGAAAAATAAGAAGAAGAAGAAAGTGTTAGCTCAAGATAACCGGTTTTTCTCTCAAAGTTATATGCTTTCAGCCTTTCCTTCCATCACAATAATGAGACCAATGTTAAGTTTTTTCAGTCGCAGAAAGAAGCATTTGGGCTAAATATCCATTAAATTAGCCTCGACCCTAACTCGATCCTTTCTTTTCCTTTTTTGAACGGCTACTCCTTTTGTTTATAATATTCATATTATAAGTTGTTTTTCTAAAAGAAAATTATTTAAAAATGACTTTTATTCAAAAAATATATTATAATATATTAGTTAAATATAACTAAATCAATCGTAAACATTTGTAATTGATCATAAAACATCAAATAAATGTAAAGTTACATATAAATTTAAAAACGACTTATATTTTGAACCAAAATAAAATTTCTAAAACCTTCCACCCGTGTTAGAATCAATCTCCTTGGAAACAAAAATCACATATGTAGTTTAGTAGTAGACAAGGCTTGGAAATGCCTTACAATGCTCCACCCAAGTTCGAATTTCCTTAGAAATAAAAATCACATTTGTGTGACTACGCTTGGACCAAAGGCCCATACAGCTAGTTAACATGATAATCCGGATCAGCCGATAAAATATATAAAAAATATATATATTCTAAAACAATTTATATTATTATTATGTTTTTTTGGGAGGCAAATTATATTATTATTATGTCATGAAACATAAGAAGTATTAAAATTTACTATACAGTCACTACAAGAACAAAGTCAACTGCTTTTATTCTTGTGTTCTCCCAAAATTGCAGTTCCAAGATTAACAAAAAATAGAAATGAAGAAAGTGTTGTATCTTAAAGTTGGATGATTTTCTTCCACCACAATAATAAAGCCAATGTTCAGTTTCTTCAGTTACAGAAACACAAGTTTTTTGTTTGTTATTCGATCAAACTCGACCACAATCCAAGAACAAAAAGTGGACTTTAAAGCTCATATAACCACCAATATTTTCGAAATACTGACACTGTTTAAAGAAGTTCCAAAGACAATAATGTGAAGATTCGAAAGTGAAAAGCTTGTACACCCTATACATTAGTCTATTCAAGGGCTTCGTGTTTATAACAGAACAGTATGGCTTCTTCTAAACTCTTAATGAATTTTAAGCGACTCTTGGCTTTGGATTGAGCTCTGTCTCTGCATTTGTAGGTGTCTTTGGTGTTGAAGCAACGGCACCAAACTTTCGAACCAAGATCTTGAAACATGGGAGCAACAAAACGTATAGACCAATGAAGAAAAACGGTGTTGCTACAAGCCACCCTAGCAACTGCAATAAACCAATAACCATATGAGTAAAACAAAACACTTAACATCAGTCTTGCAAGTTACTAAAGATAAGAACATATCCGATTAGGCTAAGGAATGCAACTTACCGCATTGCCAATGCTTAAAAAGACTTCTTGAGAGGCTTGACCAGTAAAAACCTTCTTTAGTGCATCTGATGTCAAAGGAAAATGAGGTCCTCCGGTGACTTTTTCTCCTAGTCTTAGGAAAGGCACCACGAGACTTCAACGCGAAAACCAAAATACAAGTAAGGTGATAACAAAAGGATACAAAATCAACTTGTTTGTCAAAGAAAAGTTCTAGAGATTTACGCTAGTTCTACTGGAGTGGCAATGATATTAGCCAACATCACGGTAGGAGCATGACAAGCAGATCCAAGCAACGCAAAAGCTACTCCACATAGAAAGACAGGAACACCTGTTTTGAATCAAGAATCACTCCCAAATAAGATACATTGCAATGTCAAAACGTAACAAAGCAAGAAGCAGTAAGCTTAGGAAACAGAGAAAATGGCGAGAGAAACGCACCGCAAATCGGAAATATTCCCAAGGTGATACCTAGTGCGGCGGAGAAAGCAAGCTGCTTAGGCTCAGTACCTCTAAGGAAATTGAAATGGAAAAACAAAATCAAACTCAAATTACTTACAACATCAACATTTCTGCAAAACAAAGAGAGACAGAGATGCCTAAAAGATCTTTTAGAAGCTACAATGAAGACAGAACGATAAAGAGTCTGCCTTTACTGTTCTATATGATCTTTAGTGTTCAAAATTAAATATAGAAAGCAAGCTGCTTAGGCTCAGTACCTGTAAGGAAATAGAAAAAGGAAAACAAAATCAAACCCAGATTACTTAAAACATCAACATATCTGCAAAACAGAGCCTTTATGAGCTACAATGAAGACAGAACGATAAAGATTCTGCCTTTACTGTTCTATATGGGCCTCTCCAGAGTTCCAAATTAAGAAAACTTTTAAGACCTACGATCAACATTTCTGCAACAGAGAGAGAGATGCCTAGAAGATCCTTTAGGAGCTACAATGAAGACAGAACATTAAAAAAATTCTGCCTTTACTGTTCTATATGGTTTCTCTAGTGTTCTAATTTCAAATTAAGAAACCGACATAGGTCAGCTTTTAAGACCAACGATCAACATAGAGCAAATGCGATCTCTATCTTAATTCCGTTTCTCAAGTATCGCGAACCAGAATCATGGGAAGCAACTAGCCTTAATTTCAGATCCATACGGAGATAAGATATGATCATAGTACGACACAAAACGCGTAGAGAGAGAGAGAAAGAGAAAGACAAACCTACGCAAGATCTGGAGAAGAGGGTCGGTGATTTTCTTATTGAACCATGCTTTCAATCTACCTTTCGATAAACCCATCACAATTCTACAAAATCGGGACAAAAATTTCACGAGAGAGTTTTAAGAGATTCAGAGATGAACGACGAATCGGCTTTCGTCTTGGTAATTTTTTCCGTTGGGCGTCTTTCCACGAACGAATATTCCGGAATCGGGTTCGGGTACTCGGGTCGAATATTGACTTTTTGTTTGGGCTTGAAGCCCAAACGATTATATATTTCAAACGTTAAAGCTCATCCCCACTCTCACTGGTCGACATTCTTTATTAACGATCTAAAAAGAGTTTATAAACATTGAGGTCGTCGTATTAAGCAATAGATAGACTACACTAGATTATATGGTTTAGTAAGGGCGATCAAAAGTTCAGATACTGTATGTTGCACTTAACTTACATATCATTAGATCATCTAATCTTCCAATATAAATTTTCAGCTGATATTCTAACATTTTTTCGTTTGTTTACCGTTATAAAAAAAATATTTCTTACACTAAATATGAAGTTAAAATTTATATCTGTAAAAAGATAATGTTAAGATCTTGTATATAATTAATGTTTTATTCAATAGCTTATCAAAAATTTGCTAGAAACAAGCTTTACATAGAATCATAAAAAATAGTCATTAGCACAACCTAAAAATGATTACTAACAAATCTAAAACACGGCTTCAACAAGTATATGTCTTTTCTTATACCCAAACCCAACAATGTGGGTTAGATAAACTCTTCCTTCCTTCACAGTAGCGGCTGATACTAACCGATGAAACATACCGCTGCTGAACCAACCCGTCACAGAAGCGGTTCGCCACCCATCTGAGCTCTCTACCAATTTCGTAAAAGGATTACCTGAAAACCCTCACAAATATCTAAAAAAATCAATAACCAAAATGCTTTGGTAGACATAAGAAATCAAAACTTTATCAAAAGATAATAAAGCTACCTGCAACAACAATCTTTGTTGGTGATAAAAATTCAATTCCATCTCCAAACCTCAATGTGCCACCAGTGACTTCAATTACATTAACTTTATTGCTATTATCATTTTCGGTTATGTCAATTTTGTATAGTAAACCGGAGAAAGTGTGGATGACGATAAGGAACCCGTCCGGGTGATAGACAATGCCGTTAAGAGTGACCAGGTTATTGAACAAACCAGGTGGAGTAAAGAGAAGGCTTTTAATGGTGGACACAAGCTTGCCATTGACGTCAACTTTCCAGATTTTACTGCCTTTTGCATCAGTAACATAAGCGTTGCCTTCTGCATCAATAGCTACATCATCTGCAAATGATTTCTCTTTACCTACATTCATCAAAGTTAGAATAAAATAAAACAATGAATCTTTTGTTTATTTGCTTGGTCAAATTCGGTTTGGTAACTGTAATTTGAAATCCGTTTAAATTGATTTTATGAGACACTTAACTAGAGGTGAGAATAAAAACACTTAGGCCTGAAATTTATCAATCTGAATCCAAATTTTATATTAACCTGAATCATATATTAATTCTAAAAGCGAATCATCTATACTAAATGAAGAAACTATTTGGGGTTCTTTAAGCTATCTACATTAGTTTTCTAATCTACTCTGAAAATATACCACATCAGCATAAAAACAATAATTAAAATTCTCACTTTAAATTTTTTTAAATACATATAAAATAAATAAATAAAACTACTAAAATTAATATAGTCATTAACAAAAGTAAATAAAACTAAAATATCATTTTTTGAATCAGTAAAATAAATATTATTTAAATCTATAACATTAATATATACTCATTTTGTTTGTAATAAAAGTATTAATAATAAAAATTCTCACTTTATATTTTTTAAAATACACATAAAATAAATAAATAGAATCATTAAAATTAAATAAACTAAATATTATTTTTTGAATCAGTAAAATAAGTATTATATAAATCTATAGTATTAATATATATAATCCTTTTTGTCACTAAAATTAATATAATAATTAACAAAAATAAATAAAACTAAACTATCATTTTCTGAATCATGGTACCCATGGTCATGGAAACGAACCGTGAGACAGTCAGACTAGATATACATATACTTATAGACTCGCCCCGTCTACGTTATGCATCCGGAGGAGTACGCCGTCCGGCCAGGGGAGTTAAACTTCCGAGGAAGTGAGCCGCAGAGCAGCTTTAATAGGAGTTAACTTCGACCTTATTCGCACTGAAGGGAGTACGTTATTGGTCAAAAGAATTACACTTCCGGAGAAAATAAACTGTGAGACGGTCAGACTAGATATACATATACTTAAAGATCGCCCCGTCTATGTTAAGCAACCGGAGGAATACGCCGTTCGACCAGGAGAGTTACATGATGGGGTCATATCCTGACTGGGGCCTGTATCCGGGGGAGTACGACGCTTGCTCATAATAGGAGGATAGGCGTTCCCGGTGAAAACTCATAGCTTGGCCACTGGTGGACATCTCCCCGGAGGGATTTTATTTCTTGCTTCGTGAGGCACTAGTGATATATCATGGTTTCAAATCTCTTTGCAAACCGTAGATTGAACCTGACATCTCCCCTGAGGGATTTTACTTCTTGCTTCGTGAGGCACTAGTAATTGTTAACACTCCTAACAGGAACAAGTACTCAAGAGGGGTGTTTCTACGAGTTTGAGTGAGAAGTCTTGTCTGGGGATCGAGACATCTATCTATTTTCGGGTGTTTCGAAAGATATTCTGCATAGAGGGGAAGAGATGCAACTAGTAAAAAGTCGAGGTTCCGGATTATGAATGACTTATCCTGAATGGCATTCACCCAAGGGGGGAATAAGGAGTTGTACTGTGATCATGCTGCTTGCCGGAGATGACTGCCTTGGATTTAGTTGGTTACCGCCTCCTTTTGAGGGGTTTGTTAGATCCGTCCAGTCGATCCCCCTTTTGTGTGGTGATCTCTTTCCTTTTATACTCATGATCTCCTTATCCTATCTTCTCCATCCGGCCCGCCAGGGAAGCAGGTAGTGGTCATCATTCTTGCATGTTCGGGGAAGTTCGCCAACTGCCCCGAAATAGTACGCAGGAGTGGTTCGGCCGAGCTAACGTGGCGTGTGTCAATATTTAGAGCAGCCTAAGGTCCACGTGTATGGATCCTCTTTTGATCCGGTAAAATCGGTCCCAACATATGTGTAGTTTAAGAAAAATATTTAAGTTAAATTACAAGCCAAATTCAAATGAACTTTTTAGGTCTTTTGATTTTTGAGAAACTGATATACTTTATTTAACATAATGAGTTAGTATGAAATTGTATTTGTATATGTATTACTTGTCTTATTTATCTATATTTCTATAGTTTACATATGCTTCAGAGACCAAATCAAAATTGCAGTTTATCAATATGATTGTGATTTTGTATACTATGTAAATGTTGTTTTTATTTATATGAACAATAGTTATTTTACATATTTGTAAGAGTTTGGAATATTGAGCGCTGTTTTGTATTTGAGACTGCTAATGAATAAAAACACTACACGAACACAATTGAAATGAAAAAAAATCTAAATTAATTGGAACAATAATCAAGTGCTTCAGTTATAGTCATATATTTGCTAAGTTATTTATTTTTTATTTAAAATGATTTTTTAAAAATTAAATAAAAAGAAAACTTATAATTGTTCAGTTTACTTATATATCAAATATTGTTAAAACAAAAATAATTTAATAGTATTTTGAAAGTTAGTGAACAACACTGAGTTTATATAAAAATATTAAGTTTTAGATTAACAGTTAATTTTCATATATATCAAGTAGAATTTTTTTTTAAATTAAATCATAATATATTTTCGAATACGTTAAAATCTTTTCGATGTATAACCATATCAAAAGGATATTAAAAATCAAATATTATATTTTAAATATTAATTTAAAAGTTAAATAATTTAATTTAAATAATAATCAAATATCTATATAAAAACAATCCGCGCGTAGTGCGGAAACATCTCTAGTATATATGAATAGAGATGAGCTTTCTCCCAAAGCTTGATACATCAGTATTTTAGATGAATTTGCAAGTGACAAATTTCAAATTAATACTAAAATTACTAAACAAATAATCATTATTTCTATTAATGTATTTGGAGAATATGAAAAATCTATTAATTTATATATTAAGATGGTAAAATTAAATTAGTTTATCTACAAATAATCAAATCCATATTGAAAAATTTACATTTTAAATAAAAAATATTTGAGATCTAAATAAAACTTCTTCCTGCTAAAATAAAAGATAATAAAAAATTAAATTTGACAATAGTGTTTGTCGAGGGATATATATATATATATATATATATATATATCAGTTTTGTTGGGTTTATGGAGTTCTGGTGATTAGTGTATACAGTTATATTGGACAACTATGTTTAATCGGTATCTATAAAATGATAAATATCTTTAAAATTAGCATATAAATTAATTAATAACATAAATTTAATTCCAATAAAATTTTATACAGAATAATCTTAATAGAAAAAGTATTAATTACTATATTTACAAAGTAATACATTTTACAAATATATATTATCTAACAAAGATTTTATAAGTATGAAATTCATATAGAAGTACTCAATTATTTATAACAAAATATATTTTTGGAAAAGAATCCTGTATAAATCTAGTTACCCTAATAAATCTAGTTATATATCTATATATGTATATATATATATTCCATCTAAATCTTTTTAATTAAGAAAATACAATATATTCCACCCAAGAAATATGCAGAAAATAAATTGTTTGGGTGGGAATATACGGAAATGTAGTCTACGAGGAAATATGCAGAATTTCTCAATTTGGAGGAATAGACAGAAAAACAATTGTTTGAGTGGGAATATGGAAAGGTCGGTAGTTTAGAGGGTTTTAAATAGACAATGTATAGTTTAGGGGCTGACGGCAGCCAACCCTAAAATATACAATAACTTTCTCATGTTATTATCTAATTTTAAAAGAAACCTAGCCAACGATTTCTTTTAATACATATTTTTGTCTAAAAGTTAATTGAATGAAACCCAAACAAAACCAAATTTTTTAAACCAAACCGAAATTAATTTCAATTTTATTTTATTTTACAAAATTCGGAAATTCAGACACAAAAACCCCAAACTAACCGAACCAGAGAACCGACGGGGGAGTTAATTGTACGGTTGAGAATCATCACGGAGGAGTTGATTGACGGACAAGAAACAAGGCCAAAGTTAACAAAAAGACAAAGTATGCAGTAGAAAACTACAAGAGCTTACTATGGCCGCTAAGCTCTGTGAGGAAGATACGACGCCACGTGGATAAATCATAGGCAGCTAACGCGCTATACTGATTTCGAAACAAATCGCCTACAGCTACAAGGAGACGGTTTCTGCTGCGGTCGATAACGATTCCAGCTGAAGCGCTTCCAGCGAGGTCAACGTCTTTGACTAAAGTGACTTCCTCCAAAACATCGCTTCCATCATCACCGTCGGAATCTCCAGGAACAACCTCGCCGATTCCTCCTCCGTCCATGAAGGAGACTAGGAATCTCCGACCTACATCGTCCCATTTGGCGCACTCACGTAAGAAACCGGAGCTATGGTAAGAGAAGACGTGCGTCGAAGGAAGAGCTCGCTCTAGAGAAATTATGTAAGCTATTGGAACGGCGGAGATTAGCAGGAAGAGGGCGGTGGAGAATCGGCCGGAGCAGAACGACGACAATGACATTTTTGAAAAAGTGAAAGAAAACGGTTAGAGAGATAAGTAAAGTGACCAAAGGTTCGACTAATTCACGTTTGAATAGTATTGGTTGGCTCATTAAATAGATATTGGGCCAGGAAAGTGTCAAAGTGTTACGGAACCACCAATATTATTATTCAAACTACGATCTAACGTGCAATTAATTTTTTAAAAATTTAATTTTAGAAAATTTTGGTTTTGTAAATACAATTTTAAAATGTAATTTTATAGTTTTACAACTTTTTACTTAAAATAGTTAATTTACAAACAATGTTAAGATGTTATAAAATATGTATATGAAAAAACATATTTATTCTTACGTAAATATATGTTTGATACAATCCTATATATTAAGCAACACTCTTACATATTAAGCATGTGTTTACGTTTGCGCTGAGTAAATATTTGTAAGATTAAAATTTATGTTTTAAATATTATTTTTAAATTTTAATTATTAGAGTTTAAAGTTTGAATGGTTAATTGTATATTTTTTGTTAATCGTACTCATGTTTTTTAGTCAAAAATATATATAATAAAAATGTGTTTAATTTTTAATAAGAAGATGATGTATTAATGATATATCATGGTTTTTGCAAGTTTTTGACCATGATATAAGTCTTGTTTATAGAGTCTTTTTGGTATTTTTCGAGTCCTATAGAGTCTTTGCAGGTCTAGGTACAAATGGAGCATAATTGTGGATTCTGGAACCTTTTGGAGCTATACTGAAGTTGATGCTGAAAGGACCAAGTTGGAGGGCATTAAGGAACAGGGTGTCGATCGACACCCACTACTTGGTGTCGATCGACACCGGTCGTGATCGCGAAGAAGCATAAAAACTCATTGGAAGAAATTGCGACTTGGCCCAGAAGTTTCCCAGTATTTACACTTTTGCCCCAATTCGTGTTTAGACTTGTATTTAGGTTTTTTAAGCCATTGTTAGGCAGACATTCTGGTTATCATTGAGACTAAGGGAGAGATTAGATTGAGAGCTTTTGGGGAGGCAAATCCATACTCTGTAGAGAAGAATTTCGAGCCCCTTCATCTTTTACTCTATTTTCTTAATGCAATTTTATTCAGTCATGATTTGTGTTTCACTTGCTATATCTGAGTAATCTGCTAGTTAGGTTTTGGGTTATTCAAATGTTGATAATGAATTGTTAAGACTACAAAACTGGAGGGATAAATGATTTGGTTCTTCATCTAGATAGCTTTAACACTGGTTTTAAGATTGATCATCTAGAAATCAGATCTTAGGTTGTTTAATAGATGTGGACACATTGTTAATCACCAGAACTATCTTAAATGAGCAAAATAACTAGTTGCAAAGGGATTTGGATTAGTGATTTTGTGAACATATCGAACCTGATCTATAATGCATGTTTAGGTTGTTAGAATTTGCAAAGGAATTTGGAATTCTAGAATCTGATCATAGTTAATCTCTGCGACGGAAATTGATTGGTTCTACATTAGTGTTTCGAGTTCTAGAACGGTTTTAATAAATATTCTCTTCCATCTGTAGTCTGCGATTTATGTCAACCTGCGAATTTTCCATTGCCTAGCGTCTTGTCTTTATTGATTCTAAGAACCTACAAATCCACTTTTGACATCATTGCTTTCGTTGTTATTTTAATTTCATTTCATCATTGATTGCTTAGCTTTATTTAAATCTAAAATCTGTTGAGTGATAGCCTTAAGTCCTTGTGGATTTGATCCCTAAGTACTACAGTGATCTCTTAATTTGAGAGAGTAGCTCTAAGGGTTAATTTGAGCATATCAAATTTTGGCACCGTTGCCGGGGACTTAGATATTACTTTCAGATTTTTAGTTTTAGAATTTTGACTAAGCCTTTATTTTCTGTTTACTAACTTTGTTCCTTTCTCTGCTGTCTGTTTCAGGTGCATGCATAATCGCAGTACCAGGAGCAACAAGGACAAGCAACTCGTGACTTTGGGCATCGAAGAACTCGCTAAGCTAGAAAGAACCATCAGAAAAGCCAAGAAACAGGATAAGATGGTTGAACCAATTGTTTTGAGGACAGATGCTGAGGGTCATTTAGTTGACAAAGAAGGGAATATAAGGAATGAAGATGGTCAGAGGATAGATGAGGATGGTGTTGTGATTGAGGAACAGGATGTGCAACCAGTTGTGCGAAATGTACAACAACAAGCTGCTGGGAATGCTGCTGGGCGTTTTCCACAGAGGACCCTGGGAGATTACAACAGGCCTGATCAGTTCTATGCAAATAGAGCTGCAATCCGCCCACCTGCCTTTCAGAGGAATGACTTTGAGCTGAAACCTAGTTACTATCAGCTTGTTGGTCAGCATCCCTTCCATGGGCTGCCTCATGAACATCCAATGGACCATATAGAGAAGTTTGAAGATTTGGCTACAAGTGTAAAGCCAATGGAGTCACCAATGACTTCTTATTCTGCAAGCTCTTCCCTCACTCTTTGGAAGGTGATGCAGCACATTGGCTTAAACAGCTGGAGTCTGGCTCTTTGACCACATGGGAGGACACTAAATCTGCCTTCCTCAACAACTTTTATGATGATGCAAGATCAGAAGAGTTGAGGACAAAAATCGCCACCTTCTCCCAAGGTCCATCTGAAGCTTTCAAAGCAGTCTGAGTAAGATTCAAGCTGTACCAGTAGCCTTATCAGAACAGCAACTTCAACAGGAACTATGGTTCCTCATCTTATCAGCCTGCACCTGCACCTGCACCATCAGCTTCAAGCAAAATGGAAGCCATGCTTGAGCAGTTGCTAGAAGGTCAGCAGAAGATTACAGTTGACTTCAATGGCAAGATTGACGCCCTGTATCAAGATTTGAATGGGAAAATCAAAGCTCTGAACACTCATGTGAAGACTTTGGATACTCAAGTGGCTCAGACTGCTGGGGCTATGAAAAGGCAGGATGGATTCCTTCCAGGAAGGACAGACACCAACCCAAGACACTCTGTTAATGCCATTATGCTGAGGAGTGGAAATAATCTGCAACCAGTGCAGAAAAAGGGCTTTAGTGCAGAAGATTTCGAGCAACTGCAGGAGTTTGAAGATGAGGATTTCGAAAATTTTGAAGGGTGTCGATCGACACCAACCCCTCAGTGTCGATCGACACCAGAGGAAATTCACGACTCCTCGACTCGAAGCGAACGGATATCGACCGAGGTCGACAAGCTGCTCGACGCCCAATCGACACCACTCTCAGGAACTAGTGTCGATCGACACCCACCCTCCAGTGTCGATCGACGCCCACCACAGAAGCAAACTACGAGTTCTCAGACTCCAGAAAGTGCAGAAGAAAGGGTCTATAAGCCAAAGGTGCCTTATCCAAGGAACCAAAAGAAGTCTAAACAGGAACTGGAGGATGCTAGGATTAAAGCTATCATGGATAAGCTTATGGTGGAGATTCCTTTTATAGATGCCATAAGGACTACTCCTGTGATAAAGAGATATGTGAAAAGGATGATGACCAAGAATCTGGGGCTGGAGCAAGGAACAATGCTGATTTCAGAACAAGTAAGTGCAGTGATTCAGAATAAGATACCAGAGAAGCTGACTGATCCTGGGAGCTTTATTCTGGATTACACAATCTTTTATGAAAGGTTTGAGAGGTCATTATGTGATATGGGGTCAAGTGTCAACCTGATGCCTCCTTCAGTTGCAGTCAGTTTGGGTATGACTGACTTCCAGCCAACCATAATATCTCTTATTTTAGCAGACAGGTCTGTAAGGATTCCTGAAGGCATTTTAGAGGATGTATCAGTCAAAGTGGGAGACTGTGTGATTCCCACAGACTTTGTGGTTCTGGCTTATGGTGAAGAACCAAAGGATCCCTTGATTTTGGGAAGACCATTTCTGGCTATTGCAGGCGCCATCATTGATGTCAGAAAAGGGAGAATTGCTTGGAATGTGGGCGATTTAGTAATGCATTTTGACATGGACAAGTTGATACAGAGGCCAACAATAGATGGCCACACATTCTATGTAGACTCCCTCACCAGTCTTGCAGAAGAGGTCTTCCAAGAGATGCATCATGCAGACCCTTTGGAGAGGGCATTGACAGTTTTTTCAGAATCAACAGAGCATCTAGACAACATTGCTGCTGGCTATGTCAAGATGATGGATGCAAATGAGCAGGTCATGCAGCTGGTTGCACAACAAGAGCTGGTTGGGACATCTGTAAAAGCTGCAAAGTATGGCAATTGGAGTGAAGAAAAAGCTCCCAAAATCGAACTCAAACAGTTTCCTGCAGGTCTAAGGTATGCTTTTCTAGGACCTAACTCTACATATCCTGTCATAGTTAGTGCTACCTTAAACAATGCAGAGCTCACTTTACTGCTAAGCAAGTTGCGCACTTTTCGCAAGGCTTTTGGCTATTCTTTTGATGACATTTCAGGTATTTCTCTAGAGTTGTGCATGCACAGGATACATCTTGAGGATGAGTCGAAGTTGTCAATCGAGAACCAGAGGAGGCTGAATTCGAACTTGCAGGATGTAGTGAAGAAAGAGATCATGAAGCTTCTGGCTGCTGGGATCATTTACCCGATTTCAGACAGCACTTGGGTCAGTCCAGTGCATGTGGTTCCCAAGAAGGGAGGAGTGACAGTGGTGAAAAATGAGAAGAATGAGCTGATTTCCACAAGGACCATCACTGGGCACATGATGTGTATTGACTACAGGAAGCTCAACGCTGCTACAAGAAAGGATCATTTCCCACTGCCATTCATTGATCAGATGCTGGAGAGGTTGGCAAATCACTCCTATTACTGCTTCCTGGATGGCTACTCTGGTTTCTTTCAGATCCTCATCCACCCAAATGACCAGGAGAAGACTACATTTACTTGTCCTTATGGTACATTTGCATAACGCAGAATACCATTTGGACTTTGTAATGCTCCTGCGACATTTCAGAGGTGCATGCTGTTCATCTTCACTGACATGATTGAGAAGTATATGGAAGTCTTCATGGATGACTTCTCAGTGTATGGATAATCCTTTAAAGACTGCCTTGACAACCTCTGTCAAGTGCTTGCAAGG